ATTACAGCTGTATTTTGAGCAAATTTCAGTCTACATGCGGCGGCAGTAATGACCACACGCTCGATTCGAGGGAAGAAGACGCTGGCACAAAACAAGCGTTGCCTCCCCGAAATGCCCAGGGAACAGAACAGAAGAAAAAAAAAAAAAAAAAAAAACGTCCATCCATCTTAAAAAGACGACATTTCGACACCAACCTCATCTAGTATTCCAAATTACACACGAAAAAAAAAATAAAAAAAATCCTGGGAATGCATATCTATCCTAATCGCACATTCTCTTTTCTCACTCGACAAACTGTTTTTTCCCTCTAATCAGTCCTCTATCCACTATCCCGATCGCCTCTTATCCCCTATCCCGATCGCCTGATACGCATCATCCAGATCGCCTCCTACCCACTCTAAGGACGTCTTTCATCCATTACCTGAAGGTTTGTTCATTTTTATTTTTTTCGCTGTGAATCGACACCTTTTATTTTATTCACTCTACATATAGAGAGGATGACCACATTCGCTGTCCCGCTTTCAACAACCCAAGCCTGAGGAACAAAGATCCAGGGATAAAAGATAATAGACGGCGGATCACGCATAACGGATATGATTATCGGATACACTTGACAGGATTATTATTGTTGGATAATGGATAATGTAATTACAGTCCGACTCTATCTGACTTTATTGTGCCTCTCATCATCAGAAGGCGCTGCCGAGGATCTCACCCTTCTCCCAGACGTACGACACACCCCCTTTACCCTTCTTTGGGGGGGGTTGAGGCCTCCGGTTACGGTTCGACGCACCCCCTCTAATTCCTTCGCCTGCCGACGGATCAGAGGACGACTGCGACACGTCGCCCACGAGATCGTCGCCAGATAGCGAATGCGAATGGGATCGCGACTCATCGTCCGGCGCAGAGTCAAACGACTCCACGCCGTAATCCACAACATCGCCATCACGGATCCCCGCCGTCGATGACGGAACCGCCGCCTCCGCGTCGCTCACGCTGACGACCCCCGTAAACCTACGTAACCCAGCCCCGCTCAGCTGATGGCCCTTCGGAATCCCCGACATCACCTTCACCAGCATTCTGCTCACGCTAGACGACATCTCGCTCTCTCTCTCTCTCTCTCTCTCTCTCTCTCTCTCTCTCTCTCTCTCTCTCTCTCTCTCTCTCTCTCTCTCTCTCTCTCTCTCTCGCCACCACCCTGGCTGATCGTTCTTGCTGAGCTCCGTTTGCGTCTGCTGCTGCCTCGATGTCGTCGGAGATGGAGAGGGTTCGGTCAGTCGTTGCTTACGCTTGCCGCGGTCCGCGAGCTAATGGCTTTGGTTGATTCCCCGCTCGAGAGCTAATCACAAAGTTAGCGATGGCGCTTCACCCAGCTCGTTGCTGCCTCCCACAAAAGCGCAGGGGGATGGGACACGCGGCCCACCCGTCTCTCCCTCCCGACGACAGCACAGCACTTCGTCCTCGCCCAACACCCGCACTTTACGGCTGGACGAGCTGGCTAGCTACCAGCAGCAAGGCTATACCGATCACAAGCAAGGCTATGGCGACCACAAGCAATGCTATGGCGATCAGAAGCACAGGTCTTCCTGACCAGGGAGGAAAGAGAGGGCAAATGAGATGGAGAGAAGATGGAGAGAAGAGGGGGATGAGGGGACGCCAGAGGGGTAGATAGAAGGACCACAAGATGAGCGCGTTTGCAAGTGAATTTAACTGCCAGACAGACAATAAACAGGCTCTGCGACAGGAGGGGGGGGCTGTGCTGCAAGTGCATACGAACGGTGGTGGCTCGATACCATGACGCTGCGACCACGCCACAGAAGACGACGACCACCGATAACTCTGGGAGGTGGGTCAGCTCAAGCTCAATAATCCCTTGGCCCTGCTCGTGCGTACAAATACAACAACAAATGCGCTCTCTCTCTGTGTGTGCGTATCTGAAGACTGTCCCATTCTCTGGTACAAACAATTGTAATTGTAATGACCAGTGGTCAAGTCCCACTACCGGTAGCAGCGTTGAGTTCCCTCAACGCCCGAATCTGGTCGTGTTTGTGGAGATGTGCGGTTGAGGAAACTCAAGGCCATTTCTGCATATCTCCAGCGAGCACGATCAGATTCGGGGGTTGAGGAAACTTAACGCTGTTAGTGGGACCTGCCCCCGGGGCGTTCTATTCGGGTAAGTACTGACTCGGTATCCTAAGCACTTTTTTTTTTTTTTTTTTTTTAAACAGGCTGTCATTTTTCTTTTTTTTTTATAATTATTATTATTTTTTATTTTTTGAAACTCCCTCACTTTATTGCAAGGAGCCTGAAGTTTCTCATTGGCTGTCAATTTATTGCACGGGCACAAAACTGGCCAAAAAAAAAAAAAAAAAARACTAGCCATTTTKTATTTTTYTTTTTTTTTTTAAAAAAWARAMATCTAMATKTCCAAAAAAAAAAAAAAAAAAAACAGAACGGGGCGCGAGACGGAAAGAAAAATCACTACTCAAGCACCCGAACAGAACGTACGGTCACTATAGATGTATCTGGGTGCACATGCAGTCTAAAGGCATACGGACACTACGGTAGATTGGGACGGAATGGCGGTCAGATACATCTAGGCGTGGCCGAATATGCAGTCAGATACATTTAGGAAAGTCCTCGTGTGAGTATGGCCTACATACAGCTAAAATGACCGCACGTTGTATTCGGGGGAAGACAGGGGTGGTCGCATCACGAGCCATCCGCCAGGATTTTGAACGCGTCTGGGAAGGAATGACCAGGTCCATTCCAAATGATGTGGATTTCACAAAAATAAGAAAAAAAAAAATTTGATGTGGATGACGAGTGATACCGCAGTAATGACGGTACGTAGTATTCGGGTGAAGACGGTAGTAGGTGCACCTTCATGCCATCTGCGAAGACTGTGAATGAATCTGGTCAAGAAATTTGACTAGGAGCGTTCATTCAAAATGTTATGAGACGACGAGTGCTGCAACCACGGCCCGAGCGCGGACTGGGTGTAATGTCGCGCGCGCGGAGATAAGGGTCGGCGCACACACGCTACTACTCTACTGGCTGTCAAAAAAAGGACACTCTATTGGCTGTCTGCACTCGTGGGCAAGGTCCCACTTAAGCAAATTAGGAGATTTGGGCCGTTGATCTTTGCTACCTACGGTCAGTATCTCTCAATCCGTGCAAGTGGGACCTACAGTAGCCCCGGGCCGAGAGTCCCACTTGCAAAGAGGATTTAATGAGCCTCCCGAATCGAGACGCGGAAAAGCAGATCCCGCCCAATATTATGCACTTGTCCGATGACACGTCCAGATTCAGGTGTCATATTCAATCCAATCCAACCCTCTTTGCTGGTGGGGCCCCGCCCTCGCTCCGCGGTTAGAGGGATCGGGGTAAAATAACCGAGTGAACTGTCGTTGAAGGTTCGTCAGCGAGTTCCTGTGCGAAGGCCTGCGCGCAGACTGCCTGCGGAAGGGCGACCGGAACGGTAGGTGTAGTCGCCGCCAGGAATGAACCTCGGCGCATTTACGGTCAGATTCTGTCGCTCTGTTGTGAACATGGAGGGGTACGTGTCTCCGTGTCGGTTGTCCCGGCACGAAATCTGAAACGTCTTTTTGTTTTTCTGGGGGCCCTAACTAACAAACTGGATGCATACGCACATTTCTTTTCTTTCTTTTTTTTTCTTTTTTTTTTGGAACTTTTTTGGAATTTTCTTGTTTTTCTGCCCCTTTTGCATGCACATATGCTTGCGGGGGCTCCTGCCCCAACGCACGTGTGTTTTTATTTTTTCGAATTTGTTTTTTAAATAAAGGCTAATTTTTTAAGCCCAATCCAGTCTGGACAGGACGGCCTTTCAGGCCTTTTTTTATTGTCATTATAGTATTATATACGGGGAACCCTATATACGGGGAACCCCGTAGCAGCCAGCCACACCCCTGCTCAAGCCTCAAATTCCCTGTGCCAACTGTTTCGTCGGACTTCCACCCTGTGTTGTCATATCCGTGTGTGTGTGTGTGTGTGGGGGNGAGAGAGAGAGATAGAGATAGAGATAGGAGGGAGGGAGGGAGGGAGAGAGATGGAGAATATGCGCTATAAGCTTCAAGATGCTTCAAGATGCTTCAACTTCGGACAGAAAAATAACAAATAATGATAATGACAATGACAATAAAAGCATCAAACAGAAAGGGGAGATTCTGAGTTATACCCCTCAATGATTACATACATGTCAAATGCCCCTAAAAGATCTTGGTAGAGCTTCACGTCTGTTCAACTGGTCATCTTTGCAATATACCCCTACCCGGGCACCTCATCAAACTTTTCAAAATACCCTGGTAGGTGCCAACTTTCGAAGGGCCCAATTAGTTCTCGATTTACCCCTACCGGCCTACGTCCATGCATTAAGGCGATAGCAAAAAGAGGGGTACCGCCAAAGCTCAAGAGAGATCCAAAGAGTAGGAACAACAAAAACTCAGGGCTTCAGAAGATCGTTTGGGTACAGAAGCTGGTATGTCATAAGTCCACCAAGCGCAAGGGAGATGGAGGGAAAGGGTCTGAGAATTCAGAGGGCTGGCGCAGGGGGACATATGGGTCAACAGAAGTCCAGTCCTGGTAGATGAGGTAGTAGTCCCTGATTAACTTCTCCTGGTGCTCCCCTTGTCCCCCACTCCATTTTACCTTCCCAAGCACCAAACCAGCATCTTTTTTTTTTGTTTGTTTTTTGTTTTTTAATGGGAACAATGCTCCAATCTATTCGTGGGGAGCACGTGCTGGGAACCGGGCCCAGCGTCCCATATAGAAAATGACATAGGATTTTGAAAAATTTGAGAGTTTGCAGTACCAGGGCCACTACCCCGCTTTGGCTAAGAGCTAGATTAAGAGATACAAACAAGCTACCCAAAATAGGCAAAAATTCAGGAAAAGATTCAGACCCCCTCCATCCTCATTACCTCACTCTGCAAGTCTTACTGCAGCAGAGCCACCATCTCTGCTGCTGCTGTACCCTATTACCGTCCTACCAGCTGGCCCCCTCACTAGTAGGATGCTTGATATCCAACCTTCTTCTCCCACTCACCAAGGCAAAGTTTCAGGAAACGTCTCAAACCCCCCCATCCATCCTCTTTACCTCACTCCAGGAAGACTTACTGCAGCAGAGCCACCATCTCTGCCGCTGCTATACCCTATTTCCATCCTACCAGCTAGCCCCTTCACTGGTTCGACGCTTGATATCCCGCCATCTACTTCCAACACCAACCAGTGTCATTCTGACAGCAGATCTGCATCTTTTTTTTTTTTTTTTTAATTTTTAAAACAAGCCGAGAGAGTGCTAGGGGTGCTGGTAACAGCAGACACCGCTAGCACTCTCGGGGAGGCTCCATCTATTGGTGGGGAGCATCACCTGCTGGAAACCGGGTCCAGCGTCCCTTCTTTTACATCTCGTCGGAAATGCCTTATGTTTGAGTAAGACAGAAAAGAGTCTGCATCAACTGAATTGTTGAATGATTGTTGGGATTTTCTTCTTGGAGTGGAGGTGTTCAATCTGTGCTTTTACACCTTCCCATTGAGTTGTGATGTTGTCCTGTATCTGTTATTTAATGGAGTCGGCGAACTCCGGTCCCTAGCCTCCTTACTGCTGTAAACATAAGAGTAATATTACAGTAGTAGCGAATTCCGCAGAATCTGGCAAACATGGACAGAAACTACTGGGGCCTCAGTCCTGTATTTGGTGGAGGTAAGGGGAACCCCTCGGAAAGACCTAATGCGGATTTGTGTAAGCGAGAAGATTGACAGCAAAGGAGATCTTTCTGTGGAAATCTGGGGGCTATCATAACTACCAGACTCAGTGAGGCTGGACCCGGGGGCCTGGGCCTGGAGAGGACTGGGTCGGGGAGGGTTATCTCTCCCTTTCGGCAACTTTTACACATCGATGGACCTGCTACCACCGACCGCTCCCCCATCCTGGTGGCAAAAAATGGTTGCTTAAACCACCGGTACTTCCTAAAGTCGTGCCTGTATACAAGCCATGATTTTAGGAAACACAAGGGCCACTACAGGAGCGCCCGAATTCATCCGACTGTAAATGTTTCTACTCTATTTTTTTCCGCGGCCGATAGCTGGCCCGAGTATTGGTGGTTTAACAACAGATGCAGGGAAGGTCAGTGGCACGTTCAACAAGCTGTGGTCTTAGTTGAAACTTCTTCCGTCCCAGAGGTACGCAGGCAGACTTTGGCTCCTCTCACTCTTGTTTACACCATCGGCAGTTTGACTAACCAGCTGAGAACTCAACTTAAACCACCAGTGCCTTTCCCCGCTTGAAAATCCGAGGCGCGGCGGTTAACACGGAGGCCTATTCAGCCTCCGGCGCCGGCCAGGGCGGTTAACACGGAGGCCTATTCGGCCTCCAACACCGACCAGGTACGTCAGCCGCCCTTGGCGCGCAGTGCCCGCCTCCAATGTACGAGAAAGGTACTGGCCGTTTATGGTGTGACTTACCTGCATCAAAGCAAATCTGGAAATGGTGGGCAGGACCGCGACACTGGAACAAACTCTTTGATTGGAAATGCAGGTGGGACGAGGAATGAGTACTGTTTGGTGTGAGTCCAGTAGCTCGCCCGGGCACTGATGATGGCATCTATGTGGCACAGATATGCAGATCTGTCATTGGTTCAGTGATCTGCAATCAGACACACAGGGCCCTCTTTGAACGGCAGGGAATGTCTGCCATTGGAAATCAAAGAGCAGGTGCGAGTCCGGGTTATCAGAGAAGTACAGGGGAGCTGATGCAGAAGCAACTGCGAAAGATGGCAC